CGGCTTAGATGAAGAGGAGCCGCCGCATTTGACATTGAAATATACCAATCTGGGGGGCCCAAATCATGACCAGTATGAGACGCTCTCATACTGCTGGGGAGACCGTCTGAGTACAAGTCCTATCTTTTTAAGGAGCTCTGAAGAGTCTCCTCCAAGAGAAGTTCAAATTGGCACGGACTTACGAAATGCACTCAAACGTTTGAGACAACCCGATCAGACTCGCACATTTTGAATAGACTTACTGTGTATCAACCAACTCGACCCAGAAGAAAGGAGTCACCAAGTTGCGCTTATGGGTGAGATATACACTTCTGCGAAATCGTTATCGGTCTGGCTGGGTGAACTAGAGGACGACCACTTTCATACGCAAAGCGATTTGGCTGTTTGGCAGACCATTGCTACAACATCCGAAAAGAATCCGGCTGAATCGCATGGTAATGCCGGTCTCTGGCACGATCGAGTCTTTCTTCGGCCCTGGTTCCAGCGTGTCTGGGTAGTCCAAGAGGTGTGGAATACGTTATCATCTCGTTTGAATCAGGATAACGACAAGTATGGCCCTATATCCGTTCTTTGCGGTCACTTAAAGCTGCCATGGTGGTTGGTTGTTCAGGCCAACATCTGCCTGTTTCATAACTTCCCGTCACGAAGGAATTGGTCGATGCCAGTGTTATGGACAGAGCTTTTAAATGTTACCAGAGACAGGCATACTCCACACCACGTTGCAGCTGGACCCCGTCTGGACATACTTTCGATTGTGATAAAAGGCTTAGACATGAAGGCAACAGATCCGCGAGATCGCATATTTGCGCTGTTGATTTTCGGTCGGGAGACATATCGCATTGCAGAACTGGATGAACTATTGAGGCCTGATTACGCAAAGACCGTTGAGTAAGTTTATACCAATTTCACCATATGGTGGATCAAACAGAATCACTCTTTGAGGATCCTTTCAGCGGTTCATACATTGCGTCACCGAACCTAGATGGACCTTTCTGATGTCGCCTCGCACGATACGCACTCAAATAGCTGGCTTGGTACTCCGCGTCGGCCGTCATGGACTCTATGGACTGATGGAAATAGCCGTTGGGAGCGCGGAACACTTGCATTAGGTGAAACAGCTGATTACAGCGCATGTGGCAATCATCAAGTCGACATGACTATTGAGAATCGAGACGACATCGAATGGTCTATTCCTGCATTCAAAGGGACTCAGATCAGCTCAATCGCCTTATTTGCGCCGGTCTTGTTATCAGACTCGGTCTTAGCTCGATCACGCGATATGCTCAAGGCTTACTTACGAGTATTCGATCCCACAGGTCATCAATTGACGTGGAATAACTCTACAGGGGCTCCCAAAGAAGCACTTGATATCTCCTGGGCTGAGTTGCTTGATGAGTACTTACGTCCACATGTAAGAATACATTTGGACAAGGACCTGCAAGATCCAGTCATGCTACCATGCATCCAGGAATGCGTATTCGAAACAGAAAGCGGAGGGAAAGGGCTATGCCCTGCGCCGGCACGCAGAGGTGATCTAGTAGTGATATTGTATGGAGGAGCAGTGCCATTTTTACTTAGACCGACAGATTCCCCAAGTTTCTACACGTTTGTAGGAGAATGTTACCTTGAAGGTTTCATGAAAGGCGAGGCGTTTGCTTCGGAAGGCCACGCCTTCGAAGAGAATATTTTCAGACTAGTCTAAGGGGACTAATGCGATTCTACACGCTGGCCAGCATAGGTAGCGTGGCATCGACGTGCAGGGATCAAGGGCGATGGAAGGAGGCGGATGAGCTTGAGGTGCAAGTAACGGAAATATTCGAGAGGGTGCCTGGGGAGAACTAGAGACGGCTTTTCATCACAACGCAAACTTGCTGACCTCTTCTAGTCATGTTTGGAAAATCATCAAAGTTTCTTGTCTACTCTGATCATACATCGCTACGTCTCACACCGTCATACCCCTGCGTCTCTCCGCTCTTCCCATGTACAGATCCCCTCACATAGTCTTCTTCGATTGTCATGTCCACCGTCTTTGTAATACCGTCCACACCTAATATCGATTCCTCGCTCGTATTGCGCGTACCGCCTACTGGTACCTTGCTAGTCCTGTTGCCCCCGCCGAACGAGTAGAGCTCCATTTGTCCGTTCGAACGTGTTCTAGCTGTGCGACTAAACATCTTGCTGTTTTGGCCGCCATGTCCGTAAGAAGCTGGGTAGCCTGGGCCGGAGCGGTCGTGCGAGGACGAGGTAAAGGCTTTGTTGAGGAGTGGGCGGAGGGCGGGTGCTGAAGCGGATATTATAGCAGCGTTTATCTCGATTTGGGAGAGAAGGAGGATAAATATGTCGTCGTAAGGTGGGTCGTCTGTTACAGCGTATACCCAGAGGGCGTAGAGACGGACAATAGACGCGATGACTGCTATACCTCCGACCATGAAGACACCGAAGAGCGCAATACGCTTTGTTCGTTGGAGTTTTAGCTGCCCAAAAGCTCGCATTGGCATGGCTAGGATGAAGATGTCTGTGAGGATGTTGACAGAGGCCATCGAGAAATACGTCTTAGGAAGGTCGTTGCATCCTTTGGGAAAGGTAGGGACCCATGCTCTCCATGGCTCTTTCGCGCCGCATTCGAAAGCCTGGATCAGTCAGCTTCGAGCTCGAGGAAATGCTGGGGTTTCGCGTATGACATACGTTGACGAAAGTGACTACGATGGTCTGAACTGTGACGAACACACTAACGGCGTATACAGCGTAGCGGAAATTCGTTTGCGTGAAGATCCGGTAGTAGAGTGCCAGTATGCTAGCTTTGACGAATAACAACGCCCAAGGGTAAACTAGCTGATATGCATACCAGTGTTTGAACGTAGGGACCATAATGATCGAATGATCTAAATCGGCATTGTGTCGCCTTGGTCTTCCGTCAGTCGTTGTCAGTCTTTCTACCACATGAATACATACCCAGTTCCCCAGCTGACAAGAAAACCATTCTGAATACCGAGTGAGATTGCGACCACCCACGCACAAATCATGAACTTGTCGTCTAATCCTATATATCGTATGAAGGTGAGGCGACAGTACAGCCTAGCAGATAGTGAGCAAGTCTTGTGGTGAGTAAACAAATCAAGGTTTCGAAAGGTCGTACCTTAGCGCTACAGCGATGGTCGAGAAGAATAGGAGAACTCCAGTGACGATCAGAAACATAGGCTGTCGCGAACCATTGTCCCAGGTGATACCATAGCCACCCGTGCTGCTTGTCATACTGTCGGAATACACTCACATCAGGATCACAAGGGATTCACAAAGAGATCATGGCAACATCTTGGCTATGAATGATTCTTGCTCCTCCTTGAAGCTTGACCACCCGCGCCGCATAGCATCATGATCCAGCACTTTGGGCAGCTTCATCTTGTGAATCCTTCTTGTTATTATCCTGCCGTGTGTCCAACAGGACCGCGAATGCGTGGGTAAAGTCTCATGGGGACGGCTGGCATCTCCGAGCCATCATTGGATAACCAACACGGGCTAAACGCTGAGGAAGGGCGGAGGATTCGCGCGTTCGGTGCAGTCGTCCTGGTTGGGTCGCGAAGTGTTGGAGTTGGTGCGGCTCTTCGCTTTGAGTAGTCTAGTTTCCCTCGGTTATCGCCTGGACGGCTCGACAACTCCCCCGTTCCCCAGCCGAGCCGGCACCCAGACGGACAAAGCCAGCTCCTAGACTCGATCTTTTGCGCGAACATAGGAGAAAATTTCTCGAAGTCTCGAGTCGTTAGTTTTATGTGCATTATCGCATCACCATATTATAGGATGCTGGAAAACCAGAGTACCTAGGTATGGCTTCGCGGCCATGCGCACACACGACGAACGCAAATTCGGTAAACTGACAGCTCCGCAATAAAGGAACGCTCCGGTGTCCACTGCGCCATGATCCCGCAGGAGCTATGTGCCGTGTTTGCCTCTCCTCCCATCTCATCCTATTCGCCACAGTTGACCCTGTGTTTTCCCGTCAATCGCTGGTTTAGACCATCAGGAACACGTTAGACACGGCCCAGAAACCAGCAGGATCTTAGCGCGAAAGCGGGTCAACCTGTCCCGCAAGCTCTCCCGTCCCCACGACAAATATCTCACAGCCTCACCTTCTGCATTGCCAACCAGAGCGGTGTGGGGGAGGTTTATTTCGGCCGTTCAGATTTCATGGTCATTGCGACACGTTACTCACGATGAATGAATGAAGGAAGCGCATATGAGAGGTAACATTTACATGCCCTGCTCTAGGATTGCGGTCAATCCATTCTTAGCCATGCAAGGTAAATCCTACAGGAATCTCTAGACCGGCCCACCGGGCGCAATCATCCGAAATCATCCTATCCTCTAATCACCAGCCATGCGAAAATTGTGCAGGCTATTGCTACGGAGATCAATACGCGTTTGGTCATATCATCACCGTGGCACAGCAGAATACGCAGGTAAGCATGCAAGGAGAACTTCGATGCGAATTAGCTTCATGCGCATGGAATACTCGCAGACCAATTACCGTTGCATGTGCGCCACATAGAAGCCATGGCTTATTACCAAAATCGCCGGTAAGCGTGCGTCTACCGGAATATGCATACCGAAGCGCTTCGCACGTGTTGCATCCCCCGAACTCAATCCTTCGGACCCAAGGCAACTCGAAAGACCATGCAGCTGTGCCACACGACCGCATCCCTCCTGAATCGCCATGCATACAAGCTTTTTCCAGACCCGGACCTCGCCCCAAATACTACGGCAAGTGGTCTAATCCCTCAACACTTATTTCCGTTCGTTACTCATTCCTTCGTGGCTCGGACTTTAGTTGCATGGTCATCTTTCGATGAGGCTCAGACGGGTAAAGTGGGTATGATAAGGCCTGTAGTGAGGCACACATAAAGCTTGATGCCTTCCACAGTCACAATCACCAGCCAGGGACAATAAGCTTTCGCCTTCAATCAATCCGAAACACAAAGCTGCCAACCTCATCCTTAGCCGCCAAAATGGTCAACCTTTCCATTCTCGTTTCCTCGCTCTGCTTGGCTTCGTCAGCAGTAGCCGCGGCTCTCCCTGCCTCTGCACCCAAGACTTGCAAGAACCCCATTGTACGAAAAGAATGGTAAGTCTATCACATGAATGAATCATCGTCTCGGACTATGCTGACCATTTTCCTTCTGCAGGAAGCAACTCTCTATCCCCCAGAAGAGAGCGTATATTGATGCTGTGCTCTGCCTAGCATCAAAGCCAGCCATCTCTGGCATCGAGGGAGCCATAAACCGTTTCGACGACTTCCAAGCCGTGCACAGCAGCCAGACACCCGACATCCACTGGGTCGGTCACTTCACCCTCTGGCACCGCTATTTCATCTATACCTATGAAAAGGCTCTTAGGGAAGAGTGCGGTTACACTGGTGCTCAACCCTACTGGAACTGGTCTCTGGATGCTGAACCTCAAAATCCCACCTCAACACGTATCTTTGACTCTGAGATCTGGCAAGCAGACACTGGATTCGGTGGCAACGGCAACAAGGTTGAGCCCACTAATGAGACAAACCCCTTCGGTATCGTTGGCGGAACAGGAGGCGGCTGCGTACAAAATGGACCTTTCACAGCGGACAAGTTCTCAGTCAACTTCCCCACTCCCCACTGTCTCAAGCGCGATTTCGTCCCTACTCTGATCAACGTCTGGGCGGACCAGAAGCTCGTCAACAACGTCCTCGCCCAGAAGGACTACACTGGCTTTGCCAGGGCTGTTGAAGGCGAGGCCAGCTTCGCCGTTCCTAACATCCACGGAAGCGGTCACTTCGGTGTCGGAGGTGCTCTCGGACAGGCTGGTGATGCGAACAATAGCCCCGGTGAGCCGGTATTCTACCTCCACCATGGCAACATCGACCACATCTTCTGGATGTGGCAACAGAAGGATCTCAAAACCCGCCTGCACCAGGTCGGTGGCCCGATCATTCCTTTCGACTACAGTGGTAAAAATGTCACCCTTGACTTTGAAGTTGGCCTTGGTAAGCTTGCGCCTACTGTTCAGCTCAAGGATTTGTTGGATACTCAGGGAAGCACCCTGTGCTACACCTACTAGAAAGGTGCATATATCTTGCATCCGTCTTAATAAACCCTGATGTTCATACGCATGTGTCTATCTTTCTCCCTAGTGAAGACGTCGGCAAATGGAACCAGCTACGCCAGATTCAGTTTACCCTCACGCTCATAGATCTCGGCTACCATATCTTCCCACCATGGCTCGGCATTGGGATCAATTTTCGTAATGTCAGACACGTCCAAACCCGCTGCTTCCGATGGCCCGTGGCGTGCATCGAGCCAGTTCCATATATACTGTACAGTACGCCATACTGGCGGAACGTTCTAGTGACGTCAGTTTGTGCGATGTTGAAGCCATCTTACATGACGTGACTCACTCCTCTAGTCCCATGACAAAGCTCTTCAAACCAAGTCTGGACTATATCACGATGTCGTGGTTCTACTGCAACTATTGCGGCCACGAATACGCGCCCTTGCGCATGATTGCGAGTAAAGAAAGGGCCAGAAGTAGACATATGACTGACGATCTGTAGAAGTTGGTCGACAATCAGCTGAACGTGTGGATGTCTTCTGGATTTCCTCATGAGACGACAGTAAAGGTAGATCTGCGCCGCTGCCACATAACTCTCCGCTAGGAGCTCGGTCGTCTTGACAGCGGTGGAGACCTTGCCGTTCTCATCCAGTTCGCAGGAATCTAGGAGAGCTTGACGGTTGGGGTAGCCTTCTGACAGATCGGAGTGGTGCTGGAAGTTCTGTAGGCGCTCTCCAATAACCCTGCCCAGATTGCGCGCTGCAATCCTATTCGGATCCTATGGAGTATATATTAGTCTACCGAGGAACACGATCAAGTGAGTTGTGTACCTTGTATAGCTTGGTGGAGAGATGAGTTATTTGCGCAAAAGTGTGCAGGAGCTTCGGACTAAGCGCGGTACTGCCTACAATCTTGTGCTGCTCACGTTCATCTCCCTCTAGCAGCCAAGTAAAAGAGCACTTCGCCTGGAACTGATCTAGTGGACAAGCTATAGCGCTCATGATGTTGTATTGGGCGAGCCTGTTCCCCAGCGTAATGCGAGCTCTGGCGCACTGTACATTGCTAGCTGAATGGTAATTGTAAAGTGGATCTGACATCTCCAGGACCTGTTCCGCAAGCTGAGTAGCTTTGTACCAGGGTGGGCACTCGTTACCAGAGTTAGTAGCCTCCCAGTTGACATTCTGTCGAATGTCAGGTGTCTTTGTTCTTAGTGTCATGAGGAATAACCAACCTCGTTGTGGCCGAACAAAAGCATGGCGGCGATGACTGCGTTCTCTTTGCCGGGCTTGCATCTTTCCGTATCGTGGAGTTCTTTGTCGAGTTGAAGGACCGCTCGTTTCCAGTGCAGATTCGCCGATTCCTTCACTTTCTCCTCCCCCGAGTAGTCCAGTATGTAGGTTGCCGCCAGTGCCAGGATTGCATGCTTCACACAGTCACTCTTGACTGCTATTGGGATGATCTCATGAAGATAGCAGTTGTCGGCTGGGATAACGGTGGTAGCTCCACAAATGGCGATGCGGACTGCTGTGTATCAGCGGAGCTCCATATGAATGTTGACTACCGTACAGAATTCGAACAGCTTCTCGTCCATTCCAGCAAGCTTTAGTCCCCGTCCAAAATCTGGGGGTAGACGCGCTAATCCATCTCTTATGTCTTGGTCGATCAAAGGCACTGCATGTTTTGGTTTCTTCCAAGGAAATTTTTGCATACGTGCAGCAGGGAACTTCTGTTGATATCTGCTTAGATTCAAGCGAACTTTGATCAGGCCATTGAGTAATCCATCTTCTGGTATAGCTACTGGCGCTGCATAACGCCGGAGCCGGGGATGGAGAATAGTCGCAGGATCATTGAATGGATTTACGATGATCGGCGCGCATGAACGTGCGGGTAATTGGAGTATGTCGGGACCGAGCTCGGGGAAATTGTTCAGAAGCCATTGCGGGTCGCTCGCCTCACCAAGCGGCGACAGCCATGCTATAAGAGCGTCAGTGATTTGTTAGACATAGCGGTAACTATGTTTTGCAGTATTCGTGATGTTTCCGTATGCGAAAGATGCAGCTCTGCCCAGATGGAGGGATTCTTACGTCGCTTGCGTGATGCGGCAGAAGGATTCTCATCACTGTTGAGATGTGAGTCTTCAATGAACACGGGAATAAAGACATCCTGCCACTGATCATCCTGGAATAGACCGGGCTGATCTTGACATCCACCGTCGATATTGGTGTTGGTGTAGGCAAGGGTGGGAACGGCTGAAGCGCGGGAAGGGAGAGCGACGCCGGACACTAACGTTAGCGCACTATCGGCGCGAAGGCGCTTAGAACGTGGAAGATCAGGCGACATGTTATCCATCATCAATGAACCTTTTGTAGTATCGTGCGATTGCGACGTTATGCTAGCGACAGTAGTAAAGTGGATCTTTCGAGTTCTCGGGGCCGGCTGACAGCGGGCAAGCTTAGTATAACTTCTGGGTAATCTCTTCTCTCGTTTTCTCAGCCTTGTTGGCCGAAGCTCCCACCTGCAGCCGCTCGAATCGAATCAGATGACAGCCATGCGCTGAGCCGCCATGCATGCATCCTCACCGGAATCGTCCAATGAAGAGCGATGAGAAAACGAGAAATGGGAAAACAACGCTAGCAATGAGGAGACAGGCGCAGCGCAACTTCTGCATCGCTCAGAGCTGAACGCTAATCGCCCCGCCAGCATGGATGCCTCAACGCGCCAGTTCTTCGAGAATATCCGCCTGGAGCCAAACTGGATCGATCAACACCTGATGTCCAACTTCTCTGGGCTGACCACAACAGGTGGGTGGCCTGTCAGCCCGTCGGGTTGCCCGTTAACAGACATCGGCAATTACCTTTTGCGGGTGCTTCATGTCCTTGCCACTTTCTCGGAAAGCTTAGTGATGGGAGATGTTATCTCAAAACACATAGATGAACAAACAGGGGAACTGGAAGCGGAGGTTGATTGCCACACTGCGAATTTGCTAGATGACAAGCATAAAGCGTTGAGGTAGTGCGCTGCGTATAAACTCCTAAAGCCAGGAATGGACACTGACAATCATCGAGGAATATCAAGGATAATCTTTCCAACACTTTGCAAGGCAAGTCCATCTTATACCCTATCGATCAGTGTGGATCAGGCCCGCATGGGTGGCGTGGTAATGATGAGCATAAATAACTAGGCGTTTAGCTAACGCGTTCAAGCAGATTGTCAGGCCGAGTGGATACTGTTCTCAATTACGCCATCTCCGGTTCTCGTTCCTTCTGTGCCAATCGAGTCTCCTGAAACACATATCGTTTCCCCTACATCAGAGGACTATTTCATGGCAACTATGTCATCCGAGGCTACTGACTATCGTACGTACGTCGAAGCACCTGAAGGTTCTGCAGAAGCAAGTCACGACCGTGCCTCTTCGAACGATTGGCAGGACATTCATAAACTCTCACCTCGTAATACTGAAGAGCAAACCACAGAAGTGCCTTCGATAGAACAACTCAAAGCTCGTGGTAAAGGTCACTACACCTGTCCGCATGGTACTGCATGCGACAAAGGCGGTGTTCAATCAGATGGGCAACTGACTGTCTACGAAAGAAATTCTGCTTTTAGGTACGTTCCGAATACCACCTGAAAAGATATCCCGCCGCTTTATTGTAAAACTGCGCCAAATTGAGCAGCATCCCGCATCCTCGTCTTCCATTCGCTCGCAGCAGGAAATGTCTAGTCCTCACATGGTACGCTGGCTAAATCTCGATAAAGGGCACATTGGCAGCTGCATGAGCGTATGTTCAAATGCGACATCCCAGGCTGTACCAATACAAAGGGCTTCGCGCGTATCGACCAGCTTGAACGGCATAAAGCCAAAACACGACATACAGCACCGGAAAGTTTATCTAGTTACACCTCCTCAGTCTGATATTTATGCTCGTGGGTTTACTGGTTTATTGGTACACTTGTTGTATTCACAAGATGATCAACAAATCACTCGGTCTAAATATTGATCTAATACCACTCATATCTCCTGCCGAGAAAACTAAAAATCCCGCTCAACGCGCGCTACATGAATTCAGAACCTCCTAGTTCCATACAAGTAGTAGGAGCATGGAAATTATACCGCAAGGTGGATACCTCTCCTACGTTCTTCTCTCCAAACCATCGATGATGCTTTGTAGACGTTTACAAACGCATTGCAGCTCGCCTACCGCACCGCGCAACTCAGGTTCCAGCACTTGGTACGACCTGGACCTATGTGGATCATCGTTCGTCGTCCTAGACGCTTTTAGCAATAATGAGGACCGTGCTCCTCCTATATGGACTTACTGCAGTTGATCCAAGTGGCACCACGCTCCGACTTCAGTCAGATCCAGCTCGCGTGCTTCCTCACAATACGGTTTATTCTTACTGGAGTTTCGCATCGATGATCTTTGTTCCAGGGAACTAGACGGGGCCAAACCGTGATTCGAGTTTGCAGACAGCATGACGTGTCTTCCCGCTACGCGATCGCCTTCCGTATCATCCATCCACCTCCGGATCGCGAAGGAGCCATCTATGTTCCTTGTAGCGCCGCTCGCATAAGTCGTTGAACACGACAACGGTGAAGAGGTAGTCGAAGTAGGCATATTCAGCAGCAGGTTACTGAACCTTGTTAGCAAGACTAGAAGACGATGGAATGACTCGATAGGAATTTTGAGCGGAGGCTTCTGTCGCACTTATACATCGTCTACAACCCTACTTCGTCACTCTCTGAAACATGACATGTATCTGGTGTACTGTAGCACACGAGTCCGCCTCACAACTAGTTTTCTCATTTTTTATCATCCTATCGCTTACTTGAACCAGCCACCCTGTCAGATTCTTAAATCAACTCAGCTTCAAACTTGGTGCACGGAGGCCTGGTAAGTACTGAAGTAGGGCGCGTGCCGGGACTGAGAAGTACAGACGTGGCAGTGGCTTTTCCAGGTGCGTTGCTTTTGGTGTTCCGGGATTCACGTCGAACGGGACGATGACCGGTAAGCCGCACCGAAACGCCTTGACTTCACTTCCCGATCGAAATCTGTCGTTAGATGCGATATCGATTTCGGGAAGTGAGACCCTAATGTGCTTGTGCTAATCCTCAACCTGTAACCCTCCATCGATAGACCAGACCTTGCTTGCAAGGTAGTACTCATGACAAAGCGCTCATTTGTTGTATTTAAGATTAATGGACAGCCACATAGGACGACCTTCGATCGAAGTGATTATCCCAAAAAAAACTTACTCTTGGGCTCGCGATGCGAAGCATGTTAACCTGATTGTAGGCAACAAAACGCACATGGGGAGCATCAAGTGCTCAGATCTACGACAGTGCCCTCGAGCTTGACGATGCTGACGATGTTGAGCGGCTGCGGCTGAAAACGAGGGTACGTAAATGGTAAGCGTACTTCTCTCATTTACATCTACAATCGGGTAGACGTATGCCAGGGCAGAGTCACTACATGTGTGAGTGTCTTACATTTCGCCGGAGGTGCTATTGGCTGGCGCATTATCTGTCATTAAGGCTGATGGGGGATAAGGAAAGCAAGCGGGGAACCCTGTCGTTGAATGAGAGAACTGGCAAGCGACCGTGGCGGCAACCTACATGGCCATCACGGCTGCGCCTGCATGCGTTAGCATTGAGGAAAGAACGCTAGTCGCTTTCATCATAGCAGCGATCACGACTTCTCGGCCTGAGCGCAATGCGCCGTCAGGACAAAGCTATAACTATGCAGCCTTCAGGTTCGTGTTGACAGCCTCATGATTGCCTTATCCAAGGTAGCCAAGCCCTCGATTTCGTCACACCAAAACCTCTCTCGCTTCGCCCCGTTCCACCCATTCAGCCACCAACATCGGGCTGGGCAACGACCTCCAGAACCACCACACGCAATGAGCTCACAGCCATCTTATCTGATCATTGGGGCTGGAGTATTTGGTGTTTCCACTGCCTATCATTTGATCAAGAAATACCCCGAAGCTTCCGTACATCTAGTGGACCGAACACCGTACCCCTGCCAACTCGCCGCATCTTGGGACTGGAACAAAGTCGTCCGTGCTGACTATGGGGATCTCTTCTACATGGAGAAAGCATTGGAGGCTATACAGTTATGGCGAGAAGATCCACTCTTCAAACCGTTCTATTACCAGAGCGGCATAATCAAAATCAACAATTCCGATCTGGGCAGAAACACATTGGAAAACTACAAGAAGCTTGGTGTGAAGGTCAATGCAAAGATCGTCAGCCCAGATCGCTTCAAGGAGGAGTACGGTTCCTTTTTCGAGCATACCGACTTCTCGGAGGCCAAGGATGTGTTTGTGAATGAAGACAGCGGATGGGCTGAAGCTGCCAAAGCACTTACCGCTTATACTGATGCAGCAATAAATTCTGGTGTCAAATACACTGCAAAGGAGATCGATGTCTTGACGTTCGGTACTGACGGCGGATGCACTGGAGTTCTAACCAAGGATGGTACCAACATTACAGCAGACCGCGTCGTCCTAGCCACTGGTGCAGGAACAGCAAAACTGCTCGCCGACAGTGCGCCTAGCAGAAAGGAGTTGCAAGTTAACGGCCGCCTCGTT